GGCCATCGCTTCTAGGTTGGAGACCATCGCTGTTAGGGTGGAGGCCACTGCTTCTAGGTTGGAGGCCATCGCTATTTGTTGTTGTCAATGATCCGTGGACCATGCAGAAACTACAAGCTGCTGAACAAAGCATTTCAAGCAGGAAAAGGCGATCAGCTTTGACGAAACAGCTCTTAAATGGACACGTGCCGCAGGTGCTGCTGCAACCGCCAAGATTCAGGAGAAGGCACAGTTCACCAATTTCATTCTATTTCAGTTATATAAATTTCTTTGCAGTTCGACCGGCAAGAGGGGGGTGGCGGAAGCAGAGCAATGATAGCAATGCCTCCTGAATAGTTGATTCAGTTGATTCAGTCACTTGGGCTGAGTGCCAGGAGCCTACAAAAGTGCGCTCGGATCTGATCCGAGCTGTCTTTCGTGCCTGTGACACCAACGGGGACGACTGGCTGGGGGAGAGCGAGTTCCGCAACATTGTCTGATACTCAGATTTCGGATTTCCATTTCTTTCGTGACTTGTAGATTTGTATCTTGCAATTAGATTTGTTTCAATTCTAATTCTATAGTCGCCTCTTGTTTCTAATAGCAAACATTGTTCCTAGTAGTACGGCCAGGAGCCCCTAGTAGCGAACATTGTTCCTAGTAGCGATGCCAGGAGCCCCTAGTAGCGTCCGGATGGCCTTATTCAGTTGACCTTGTAAGGCCCGCTTCTACGGCTTTGACGGCAGCGACGAGGAGTGGTCAAGAGAGTTCAAGAAGCTATGCGAGGAGAAGAAGGTGGACCCAAAAAGGGGCATAGGCTGGGCAGACAGGTGGAACTGTCGGATCCTAGTTCCTTGGCCACCTTTTGTTACTTGCGCAGGCCAAACTCTCTTTGGCAAAATGCTGAACGAGGATGCGGGACTGCTTGCAACAAATGATGAACTCAGAAAGTGGCTCAAGAAGCTGGAGGACAACAACAAGCAGCAGCCCCAGAGCAGCGCCAGAAGGTTTTCCAAGCACATCTCAAGAATCGAGAGCCAATTTCTCTCACAATCTGGAACTGTTCGTGCAGCGAGGGCAGGGGTTTTCAACTACAAAAGAAGAAAGGTAAGAAAGGAAGAAAAGAAGGGAAGAAAGGTCCAAAGAACAAGAGAAACACAAAAAGGTACCATACGGTGGGAGAAGCTTTCTTAAGAACCCGACCTCTACTGTGGCAGGTGATAGCTTTCTTACTAGCAACCTTACCCACCCCTCATTGCTCATTCTTTGAAGCCTCCTCTTTTATTATTCGCAGTTCCAGGAAGACCGGAGGGTCCAAGGAGGCGAAGGCTCAAGGAGGTGGGCTTCTGGGCTTCTGGGCTTCTGCCGTCAGCGAAGCGACGTGACGCGATGACAAAGCACGTCGCCGGCATTGCCTTGCCGTAGCCGCAATGGTGCTTCAGGAGCTCCCAGAGAAGAGGAGGGAGATGAGTTCTACCACAAGCTGAAGAGGACTTTGGTTTGGTCTGGTTTGGTTAGAGCCTAGTTCAATATAGCATATACAATATAGCACCATGGCAACAGCTGTAAGTCTTGGCAACCCTGCTCTGATCTCTCATTCTGAGAAACTCTGTCAAGCAGGGTTAGGCCCTTACATGTGGTTGTGGGGGTTGTTGTTTTGGAGCTTGTGTGCTTTTTGTCCAGGCTAGCTTCACTTGATAACAGCAATTGACAAGACGATTCTCTGACCTTTGGCTCCGCGTGCAGAAGAGTTTCACCACATCGCGGTAAGGAAAGAAACAAACAAAGACGAGTTGTGTTGAGATGGGGAGAGAGACAAAACGCCTTGCTACTTCAACTTTTCCGTGCCTCATTGTGCGATGCCGGATGAGTCTTCGCACCTTGGCCTGGCTTGCAACGCTTATTCGACGATTCGTTTGGAAGAAGCCCTGAAACCCGCGGAGTGAACTAGACATGATTGACATCGGATTCCAAGGTCCGGAAGCCATGAATTGCAGATCCTGCGAAGACGTGTTAAGCGGCAACAGAGCCTTTTTGATCCTTAGGCCGCACTCGATTGGGACTTTTGATGTTACCGGTTTGGATGCAGAATCACCTTCAACGATCCACAAGGAAAGACACCAGTTGAAGCATATCGACATCTGTACCCTGGGCTCATGGATCGCATTTCACCGAGGAAGCGCAGGAGCGAAAGCGCTTGGAGGAGGAGCGGCAACTGGTGCAAGAGCCCCCCGGCGTCACGTCAAGGTGCAGGTTTGGAGCGGCATCAGGTGGATTGATAAGGACTCCTTTATAGTTCGTAATCTGAAGACTTCAACTTTCGCATGATGTACTTTGTTGGCTTGTAACTTTATTATATTTCTCATCGTTTTGGTCTCTTTGGCTTTTACATTTTCATTGACTAGCTGCATGAGGGCCGGTAGTGAACGATGTAAACCGGAAGGGTCATTGTTTCTGGCTGCAGGAGTTCTGGAACCAAGGTATTTGGACTACCTGCGCCAGAAGAAGCTACGGCAGCAGCAGGACCGTCGCGAGGATGAATGGCAAAAGAGATCGCATAAAAGAGGGTGCCTTTGTTGATTGACCGTATTATTCGTCCTTAAATCGCGCCCGTTGAGATAGCACTTATTATGCTGTGCTGGGCGTGCCCGAAGCTAGGAGAAAGGTCGAGGCGTGCACGCACTTCTTTGTTCCCCTTGGTGCATTTCCTCAGACGCTTGAAACCAGCTACTACACGTGCAACCCTTAAATGGCTCAGGGAGGAAGACATTCACACCTTGCCAACGTGGTTTGACAGTGGGGATCCCTCACATCAAACGGAAGGATAACTCGAACAGTGGGGACCTCACTTGCAGATGTTCATTGTGAAAATGGAGGGGTGTTTTCCAGAAAACCGTCAGGAGCGACAGCAGCGCATTGCACGGGGCCGGGCTTTGGCGGCGGCCACTCGGCGCCAGGCAACCCTCGCTGCCCTGGAGGTAGCTGAGGTGGAGGAACTACCGGAGGCCGAAACAGTTGCGAGAGAAGGTGAAGGATTTGTGGAGTGCGGAAGGTTTAGCAGCACCCATTTGTCCAGGTCCCCTCGAGTCCACCATCCGTGAGGCATCTGGAGGCGGAAGGGCTTCAGTTGTGTTTCAGCTTTGGATCGCAGGTCTCAAGTCCTGAGGACAGTTGCTTCAAGGTGGCTATGTTTGTTGCAGTCTTTTCTTGCCTAAAGGCCTTCTAATGCATTTTTCACCAGATAGCGTGAGCTATTGGGGTTCTTGTCTTACTTAAAATATAGGAAGAGCTGCATGTGTACGTTTTCGAGCCTGGGTGCTGGTGCCGCTGCACTTGGGGGCTTGGGTGCTGGTGCCGCTGCAGGGTGTCGCTGCTGTGTGCGCTTGGGAGCATGGGTGCTGGTGCCGCTGCAGGGTGTGTGCGCTTGGGAGCATGGGTGCTGGTCAGGTGCGCGCGAGGGTGCTGCTGCGACATGTCTCTTGCCCTGTTCGCTTTGAATTTTGGGCGCTGGCACCGCTGAGCAGAGTGCCGCTGCGGATTGCGGCTGCACGGTGCTGCCCCACAGAACATGTTTTGCCACTTGGGGCCTATGCTGGCGTAATTTGGGTGACTGTCAGGGTGGCAGCCCTGTGAGCTTCCCTGTTTCGGAAGAGCAAGAGGAGAGGCGTTTTGGACAAGTCCTGCTTCTCAATGTGTTGTTTTCTGTCCACTTCCCGTGCTGTCTACTTCGGATGCAAAGGAGAAGGCAAGGGAGACAAGGCTTCTGACAGAGGAGTTTGTGCTCCAGGTGCCAGTCTGCAAAGCACTTGAAGTTGGTAGTGTCAATCAACTTGCAAGCTTGGCCAGGGTAAAAACCACAACGAAGTGCCTGCTACTTGGATGCCAAAAGAGCGAGATTTGGTCAGGCAGCCACACACACAGACGCACGTGAAATCGGAAAACTGTGCTTGAGCTTGAAAGTGTGACACGAAGATATGGGGAATGTACAAGCAGGATGTTTTCCGCCGTTCCCTCTCAAAAGAAGAGCTTGCAACGTTTCGTTTCTTGTGGTTGTGCTGTTGCATGACCACTCATAGGATGGCTGCAAATAGTTGGCTTTTCGTTTGGTAGCTTCCTGGGCTAAGATCATGAAGCGAATGGTGTGGGCAGTTCTCCTCGGCTTGGGGCTGATGGGGCTTATCTCGCAAAGAGATGCCCTTGCCAAAGTGCCAGTCTTTCTCAGCAACGAGCCAGAGCCAGGAGAAGCCAAAGCCATGCCAGACATAGCTGAAGTCCTGCCGGAAGATACCAAAGTTATGCCAGAGGCAGTGACTAAAAACAGAGTTGGAAGTGTCGAGGGCATGCAGATATTCTTGAGAGAGCTATGTGAGTTAAGAAAGTTGCCGGAGGTGGGCATCCAGAATTCTATGCGCTCTGTGAAGTTGGAGCTTAGGGAGCGCTTGTTCGCCGTTTTGGGGGAGGTGCTTTCAGGGGAACCCAAGCCTTTGCAAATGCTGCATCGAAGGCCCTTGGAGCCTGACTGCAACCATCCGAGCCTCGAGCATTTGCTCACAGGGCAGCGAAGGACAACACCCTTGATGCTAGTGGACATGCCCTCAGGCATGGGAGGAGGTCCGGAGTTGGACTTTATGGAGCTGCATATGTTGGAGCTGCAGGGCATTGCAGACCTTTTTGTGGTTGGTGAAACAGGTTACACCTTCAGGGGAGATAAAAAACCACGATTGTACCAGATGAACAGGGCACGCTTTCAGCCTTTCGAGAAGGCCACAGTCTACCTTGACATTGATCAATGCCTCCAATACCAGGAAGCCATCAAAGAGACCCGTGCATTTGCAACGGCTGGCAAGCTAGGGCAAGATTTGTGGGTGGTCCAGAATTGGCAGAGACGGTGCCTTTGGACAATGTGTTGAAATTCACCTCATCCCCATGGACCCCGTAGCGTTGGCTCAAGGTAGAGCAAAAGGTAGCGCTTACCGGGCTAGCAGGGTTAGCTAGGTAGTTAGTACTATTAGAGCTGATCCTGTAAAATACAGGTTATCAGCCGTAGGCTAGCTAGATTAGAGCTATGGACCCAATGGATGACGACGTCCCACCGAATGCCTATGGAAGTGGCTTTGACATAGTTCCGAGTGTGCCCAATAGTTTGGACGCAGTTCAACGGCATGAACAGGCAGTTGCACAAGTGGCTGCAATGGATCCAAGGGTTGCTTCGGAGGTGTACCAAGAGATGCTAAATAGTGGTGGTAGTGTTACTCTTCAAGAGGCGACACAAGCTACCCTAGCAGGTATGCCGTCAGCCACCGTAGCTGGTGCGCCAACAGTAAACAACTTGTTGGCAATGACTCGGCTCAACGTCGTCAACCTGAATGCAACGCCAAACGACGAAGAACTACGACGGGAGTTACAACAACATGAGTTTTTGCTCAGCGAACAAGCCAGGAGGGAAGCTGAAATCGAGGCATTGCGCTTCAGGAGTATTTACGAAAGAGAAGCTTCCGAATCTATAGCGGCAACAAAGGCTGCCGCAGAGCAGGCAATGTTGAATGTTCAACAAAGGGCCCAACAGCAAGAACAAAGTGTTCAGCAAATGGTTCAACAGCACGACAATGTTGCAATCAAACGGTTGCAAGGTACATTGGAGGAGCAAAGGGAACATTTTCAACAGCGGCTAGCTCAGGCAACAGCAGCTCATGAAAAGGTTGTACAGGAAAAGAATGCCTTGGCAGAAGAAGGCAATGCTTTTGTTGACAGAATGAGAACTGAACATCGCCAGTATGTTGAGCAACAGGAGTCCAAGCTGAAGGCGGCCGTAGAGGCAAAGGATCAGGCAAGACATTCGTCTGCTGAAGAATCCCGGATCGCTATAGAACTTGACTTCAAGCGAGAACAACTGGACAGTTCGTTGGCAATTGCACAGGCAAAGATCAAAACCCTTGTTAATGAAATGGAGGCTACAAATAAGCAACATAGAGTTGATCGGGAAACACAAGAGCAAACTATAGTTGAGCTTCGCAAGGACAATGCAATGTTGAAGGGTGAAATGGATGAGCTCAGGCGTGTCGTACAGTCCTTGACAGACAGGGAAGAGGAACGCAAGGAAGCGGAGCGCAAAGCGCAATCCTCTAGCCCCGTTAAGCCAGGGCCGCAATACCCTGAGCCATTCACACCTCCTGCTCGACAAGATGCTCACCCAATTGGTCAACCGCAATCTTTTGAACCTCTACGCACGGAAGGCACTGTTCCAGCAACCTTAGACGGTAAGCCCCTTGATAAAGGTGGATCTCCTATAAAGACAGCTATGGATGCAACAGCGTCCGTGCGCAACACAGGATTCCCATCAATGTTCTCAGGGACAGGGGCGCCCGCAGCGGAACAGGCAACGGCCTCTACAGACAGGCAACAATTCAAACAACCGGATCCGTGGATGGAGTACATGAAGAAGTCAACACAATACAACTTCAGTGATGATCCTTTGTACAAAAGCTCCTTTA